GTAAAATTTGAACAGATTAAACACGTGTTACTTCAGTTGGGAAATCGATACATTTCATTTTTATAAATAAAAATTAATAAAATATTTAATTTTAATATTAATAATGTGATAATTAATAAGATCTGTAACTTGGTGATATTCTAAGCTATAAATTTGATATAGTTGAGTCATTTAGAACTTGCTTTTATTTAATTCTTTTACTAAAACTCTCCTCCTTTTAAGTTATTTATCACCATTCATAAAGATTTATTACATTATTTATAAAGTTCATACTCATTTTATTTATCAAATTTTTGATTTACAAATTTACTTTAAAATATTCCAATCTTATTTGTCAGTTGTATTCAATGTAATACATTTACCTATATTTTCATAATACTTCAAATTGTCAAAGTATGTATATAAAATGTACATTTTTTCAATATCTTTGGAACTTGTTGACTCTTCTTTCATCATTTCTAACTCTAGGTCATCAGAATTTATCTCCATTTGTAAAGTTGTTTGCATTGCACTATTCATCTCTTATCCACACTATATTGAAAAGTCGATCATATTTTATGTTATTCAAAGATATTTTATTCTAATTTCAACTGGAAGAAATATTCTTATAAATCTACTTAATATTCTAAATTTTATCAGCATTGATTCTTGTATCTATAGAATTTATTTATTTGCATTTTCCTCCATTTATCACTTGTAGTATGATATTTATCAAGCTCAACTTTCTTGTATTATACATATCCTGTATCTGATTTAAATTAATGTTTGAAAATAATTGAGTTTAAGTAAAGAGAAATTCTTATCATTTTTTCAAGTAAATAATGTTTATTACATTTATAAAATATATTTTTTTCTTAGTATTATGTACGAGTAACTTCAAAATACCATAACAATCTTTAAAATGTATTCTAATCTCAAAAGTAAGAAAAACGATCCGTAAACAATTCCTTTCTAAGATATAATTATTCTTATTTCATCACAAATCCTATGGTAATTACTAAAATAATCACCATGTAAACACTGGTAACAACATTCAAGCATGGCACAGTGCACGAACATTGTAGATGTGCGTACTTCTCACATTCAACACAGTACGTCACAATGAACGAAGCTATTTAAAACGACCTCCGTTGATAATAATGACATGACCTATGACAAAGGCCTTAAATTATATGACATTGATCTTTGTTACATGATTCATCATCTTGGAATTTGTATTATAAGTGAACGAATTACGCAAGTAAGAAGGGCTGTAAATTATAAAAGAATTGTTTCCAGACACTAAGTATTTCGAATTTAAAATACACTTTATAGTGTGATGTAAATCTAAAATGATCTTTTATAATAATTTCATAAAATATTACAAATATCTTGACTGTCAATTAATGTAGATACGGCCCTACGGTAATTTCAGAAAACTGTTTTATCTACTCACCCAATTTCTCTAGATATTAAATTAATTTTCATAATAATGACTTTTACTTTTATGTTATTTTAAATATAATTTATATACTGCCNTAAACTATAAAAGCCTATTTATAATTTATAAAAGATTTTATTTAGTTAATCAGGTCTCTAGACATTAATAATTCCATGCCTGGTCTTAATTTTCATGTATTTTTCTGCGTTCTCGAGATAAAAAAAAGGGCAGACAGACAGACAGACGACATTTTACACGATTTCCTAAACATTATACTCAATGTAGGTATGTGTGCATTTGAACATGCTAATGAAGAATGTTAAAAATCCACAAATTTCTTTATTTTAATATAAAGAAGAGCTACTTTCCATTTTTCATAAGTAATGTTTCACCCTTTTAACGACGTAATTGGAAATTCGTCGTAAAGCGAACCCTTGCATTTCCCATTAGTTTAACACGGTATCACAGCCTGAGATAACGTGCTTGGAAATACGATTTTAACTATATAATGCTTTAGAATAATGGTAAAAGAAGGCATTTTGCACAATCATAAGAAATTTATGAAGTCGTAAAAGCGGGTCTACTTTGTGTTAATTTAAATTTTCTGTATAATTTTCATCATTTAACAAATTTTAAAGATTTATTATAATTCCAAGGCCCAATTAAAGTAGATGTTACTAATCTGAAGCTTAGAAAAATCTAATTACTTTCCCGTCTGTTATATGTAACAGAGGGGAAGTATGACAAACAGTCAAAAAATAACCCCTCTCCAATATTTTTATATTTTTGGATTCAGGTCACCTTGTCACGTCGAGTAATGCAAATAATTTGGGAATTTTTCTGTATGTATGACTGTTAGTGTGTGTTGGGGGCACGATTTTGTTTACCTAATTTGAAGCTAAATAACTTTTGTACATTTCGTGGAAAAATTCTGCAATTTTGCAGGAAGGTTTGTATATTAAGGATGTTGAGGCTGTTAAATTTTGTTGAATAAAGGTCAAGAGGATGGAGAGATAAAGGGTGTCAGGTGCCATATCTCCAATGGGGTCGAACTGAATGAAGATTTTACTGGTTATTAGCATTTGCAATTTTTCTGAAACTCATCTCTGTCCTGAAAATTAAGCTTTTTGTCATTTTATAATAATTAATAACATAAAAATGTATTTTTAGTAAAATCTGGTTCAAATGGTGCCACACGCAATTTTAAATATTTTTGCCTGGAAAGTTACGCAACTCTTCGCTAAACTATTTTAGGAAGAAAGCATTTATATTAAGGTTTTTATTTAAAAATTCTAAAATACAGTTAGAGAGAAGAACCAAATATTCTACTACAATGAATCGAAATTTGAAGAAGTTTTACAGATTTATTCTTTCTGAAAAGTTTTTTCTTAAATCTTCCATAATCTAAATTCATCCGATTAATAATAAATTTAAGTATTTTAATTCACTCATTTTGAAAATAAAATGTATTCCTTCTTCCACTGAAAAAAACCTCACTTTTATTTTCTAAAATATGATTTTTACTGTATTTTTCTGGATTTATTGATTTCACTTTTCTATAGAGCTACAAAGATTCGGTCATGTAATACTATGTCATCAAGAAAAGAAATTATGGATAGACTAAAATCTTCATTCAATTCACTTCGTCCTTCTACTCTTTCAGGTTTGTGCTATAATTTCAAGATGAAAATTTTATATCGTTTTGTTCTTTTTGCTAACAAATGTCTAAGAAGTAAAGCTTTTTTCAAATTTAATATTATTATTATTCATTTTATATTAAATATCAAAACACTAATTTATATGGGAATTGATTTAAATAAAATGTGCTTAAATATTTATTTATTTAAGATGATGTGAGTTTGTATTGTAATTTATTTCTTGCTAAGAATTATTTATATAGAAGAATGAAAGATATCTTTATTTTATTTTAGAATACTAATGTGCTTTTATATAAATTAATTTACTATTATTATATATACCTAAAAATAACCAAATTTTTACTTGTGATATTGTTTTAATCTTAATATATGTTTTTATAGGGCTGCAATTTAACAAATTCTAGACCTATAAATTCCCACTTTCCCATTTTCCATTGTCTGTCTGTCTTCTCTTTCTTATTCTGAAGAACGATGTTTGATAGAAAAAAGTCGCGACCAGATAAGGAATGTTTATGGGCAGGACATCCCGATTAACCCCGACTATATAAGAATTTCTATGCAGGAAATTATGTGATTTCAATTAAAAAATTTTCTCTAGAATGGAGTTACATGGGTGACCGGCATGACTCTGTTGTTATCACGAAAAGTATGGTGTACAGGGGCAAGTCACTACTAATTGGAAAGCATATATTTTAAATTAAATATATTAAAAATATGATTAAAAATTGCTGCCTGGCATTGTGACTGTCATAATAATTTGTGATCGTCTTATTTTATTTTATTTTCTTGTTCAAGCAATGCCAAACTATCTCTGCTAGTTACCCCCAATAGACCCGTTTGGAACCCTCTAGAGAGTTGGCCCTGAATTTCTAAAGATTCTATAATTGTTTTTAAAATTACAATTTTATTATTTATTTTATTGTTATTAATTAATGTTATAANATCTTTTCTTTATCTTAAGATTTCATGGCACTATATTTGTAGTGTAAAACCTTAAAGAAAAGATTGTTACCTTGTTCATGTGCATACAAATTACATTTTATTAATATAAAGTAAGAATTTATAGGAAATTTTAATTAATTTATCCATACTACTTCTAATTAGTTAAAGTTTTAATGACGTGGGGTTGAGTTAGGATACTTTAAAAATGATGAGTATTCTCATTGCTACAATGGAAATACTCAAAATTTTGTACTATGCTGAAGTACAGTAATTACTAATAAGCATCACTTATTAGTTAGATCATCATGTTATGATGTCGCTTTATAATTGGTCACAGCAATAAACTACAATATGATCATTGTGTTGTCACACTATTACGTCTCATAACATGAGCTCTGAAGATATTCAATTTCATAAAAGGATTTTATACATTTTTCAAATTCCACCTCAAGATTTCTGATAAGAAGAGCATATTCTTTAAAATCAGCTTACATAATGAAACAATAACACAAAAAATCATTTTGAATTATTGTTTCATAAGTATAATGTATTCAATATATATATAATCCTCCCTCCTACAGGGAACTACTCTATTAATTTCAATAAATTATCAATCATCTCGTAGTGTCCGTTTATAGTTAATCACAAAGCGATCAGTTACAACGTGATCATCACGTTGTAACTGATTTATGATCAACCACAAAGCAATTGGTTACAATATAACTGCCATATTATAATGCCTGTTTATGATCAATTACAATGATTTAAGAATACGTGTCTACCTTTTCAGCCAAATTAACATACATATAGCATAAATGGTGTGCCATAATAACAACTGTATATCTATTTTTGCACCCATTTGTATGTAATTTTTAAAGTATCCTAGCTATTTTATAGAATACCACAATACTAAGTAATGATAAGAAATTGTATAATAGTTAATAAGATAGTAATTATATGAATAAGAAACAAGTACGTACCCGGCAACAATGATGAAACCATCCAAACGATTCCATGAATCACCCATGTAAGAACCTTTCCCCGTGAATCCCATTGCTGTAATCTTCACAACCATTTCAAATGCGAAAAATGTAAACGTTAAATCGTCAAATATTTGCAACATTTTACACTTATTTGATTCACAAACATCATCGGAACACGGCTGGTACATGCCTAACGTGATACAGTTCAGCAATATCACTATAATACTGATTCGTTCAAACCATGTGAATATAAGTTAAGGAATAAAAAATTCTTATTAAAAATAAATACTATATTATTTTATTTTATTTTCTTGTTCAAGCAATGCCAAACTATCTCTGCTAGTTACCCCCAATAGACCCGTTTGGAACCCTCTAGAGAGTTGGCCCTGAATTTCTAAAGATTCTATAATTGTTTTTAAAATTACAATTTTATTATTTATTTTATTGTTATTAATTAATGTTATAATTAACTGTAATGGTATTAAACAATAGAAAATGACAATAGACAGAAATTTTGTCATTTGAAACAATACATAAATGATGTAATACAGTAACTCATACATTATCCTTCTGAACAAAGTTTGTTAATTTGCATATTTGGCACAATTTTAAAAAAGAAATGCCATTTGTTAAAGGATTTCAGTTTTATAATTCGTTATTTTCTAAATATACTATGCATAAAGTGAAGCAATTCCATTTTTTAATGACTTAAAAGAACAAAGCTAACTTTTTCAATCAAAATTAACTTGTGGTATATGTTAATCCGTTAACTACTGAAATCCTATGCAAACACTTTGATGCACCACCATTTACGAAATGACAGACGACTTAGCTGCTGTGTAATTTGTGTTTTAGCACGCTACGATTTCTTTGGCAAGCATTTTTGTTTCAAATATATTCACGACACCATTTGAATGACAGAGTGAGAAAGCCATCTTCATAGCGGAAGTCAAGCAGAACTTGCCAGATTTATGAATGTGTCCAAAAGTATCATTTCAATGCTGTGATGCCAGTTTCAACAGACAAGAATTTGTACTAGACGGACATTCGAAGGTCGATTACAGTCTACAACAGCTGAGGATGACTGGTGTGTAGTAGTTCCAACTGAAAAGCACAACAGACTTGTGACAGCTCATCAATTCTCCCTTGCAGCTTGCCTCAGCAACAGGAATATCGGTAACAAGGACTATTACCTGAAGATTTTAGGAAGAAAACTGTACACTAGGAAACCTATGGTTTCCATTGCACTTACCCATATATAAAAGAGCGCCATTAGAATGGAATAAACATTGTTGCAATTGGAAAACTGAACTATGGGGCTGATAACTCAATATATATTCAATAATAACTGATTATGGCGCAAATAAATTTCGCAGAGACTGGAAATCTTCTTATCAAAATTATGAAAAAGGAGAATTTTGGAAGTGAAGGGGTAATAGTGCGGTCTGGCATGGTGATTGATGTTCTTACTTTACTATATATCATCGATAGAGGAACTTTGACAGCGCACAGGAATCGAGATCGGATCCTAAAGTCCCAAGTGCAATTTTTCGAGGTGTTATTGATTCAGATTTCGTTATAATGGATGATAATGCTCTCCTCGTGGACTGAAGTTTATGGATGAATATCTTGAATATGAAGAACTAAGAAGAATGGATTGGTCAGTCATAGACGAACGTGCTTGAGATACTCTCGGACAGCAATTCGCTTCCTGTGATAAAAACTTGATAGCTGAAAACTACTCTGATAACAGAGGAATGGAAACATTTCCATATTAAGCTCTTGAAACACCTTGTTGAAAGCATGCTCAAGCGTTGTGAGACCTGTATAGAAGTCTCATACGCCTTATTGATCTGAAGCTTATAGCACTTCATCTTCATCGCAATGTCATTATTTGATATTTAGAAAAGTTTAATGAACTATCAAAATGTATGTCCATGCAAAGTTCGATTTTATTCTGTTCAAGTTTCATTTAATTGAATTCATGTTTACTTCCTTATTATACGTCGTTGCTTATAACTGTTCACGTTTTATGTAAAATCCCCACCCGATCTTAACATGACGTCAGAATTCCTTATATACTAAATCTATAAACTAAGAATTTTTACAAGTACTATTATTACGGATTCCTCTAAGAGCACCTGTATAGCCAACTTTTAAAGAAGATAATCAGATAAATATCAACAGACAGACTGACGAAGCGTTAACATACTGTTTGCAGCATGAAAATGTACGAAAACAGACTTGCTTAATATTCATATTGAATTAATTTGTATAAATAATAATCTATAACTTATGCCCTTTAATCAATATAAATAACACTATTTTAATCTATTAGTGAATATCACTTAAATTCTAAAAAATATAAGATATATTTATTCAATATATTTCAAATTTTTACATACAAATTATAGTTAGATCTTGCAAATATTTCATTTAAAATTCGCAAAATCGCAATAAGAATTATATCAGAAATCAAGTTAATTAATGTCAGTGCGTGATTGTAATATTTATAAGGAGTAATAAATAAATTCAATATATGTAAATACAAATAAATCAGTTCATTTCAAAAATATGTGATTCATTACTCTCAACCCATCAGATCTTGCGAACTAAGGATTGACAAACAGACAAACAGGAAGGTTGTTGCATGATTTCTGAAACGTTTCTGTGATAAATCTCTTCGTGGTTTCTGCTAATATACTGCATCTTGACAGGGTGTATTAACTATACGTCATATATTCATGTGGATTTAAATCTGTTGATAGAAGTATAGATTAAACTGTTTGGCACATCTGACCTTTGTAGAGGAGGTTCAGTCTAAGATATTCAACTAGAAAAAGTTGACTTCAAGTTCATAAAGACCATTCTATCAATATTAAGGTCATGAAGTTCATAAAGTGTTCCATGAACTCCGTACGATGAAGTTAACAAAGAGAACAAGAAACATAAGAAGAAAAGCGTGCTTATGCAGTTATACTGTGTTTATGCTAATGGTAAACTGACTTTTGGCCACTACCTATAACATATGTATACAAAGAAGTTTAAAAAACTATTTGTTAAAGAACATATTTTAATTATTGTAAAGATTATTATTAATCAAATCGGAATTAAATGATTTATGTCTCAATGATGATGATTATTATTTTTTTCAGGTTCGAAGCCAAAAAATAAATTCTCAAACACATAAGAACATGATAACAGTACTTAGGACTTATGAATACAAAATTTTAAACATGCAAATTTATTTTAATTTTAATAATTAATGTTGAAAATCAAATAGACTTGACATCATGTCTGTATAAATTATATTCACTAATTATCTCCTAAAGCAATAACAAAATTTAATAATAAATTTTAACGGACGAAATTGTTTATTAATATTAATCATTTCCGCGTAGATATGTCCGGATTTTCTTCACGTATCGAATACCTAAATAGGGACAATTTTCCCATAGAAAGTACTACCGGAAGGCACAGATCTTCTAAGTGTTGCGTTGCCTCATCAATTTAATCCAAGAAATGAAGTCCTTTGAATCAGAATACTGACGATAATATATAGAATTGATTTAAGCATTTTTTAAATATTTATTTCGAATATTTTAAACTTCAGTTATAAAAAAGTATTGATAGAATCTATAAATAGTTACGTTGAAAAAACATTTCTACGTTTTTCTCGCATTCGGGATGCTAACAAAGAAGATGAGAATGAAATTAACTATTTTATTAGTCTACTAATTTTAGTAAAGTTATTATATGTTAAAGCCACAACTAAAGAAAATATCCTAAATTAATACAATGTTTATAAGGTATGTAAAAAGTTATGAACATTCGTATATTATTGGTGTAGATACCATAATTATTGAGCTATTGGTATTAATTTTACTACTATTTATCAAATACACGAAATAAAGATTTTGTATTATTAAATGCATATATTTTATATTAAAATAGTAGAAACTTTTGTTGGATATCTCGAATTTATTTTAATTCATCAAGCTAGTATTGTAATTAGGGGGGTACAACAGGTGTGCAGGCACAGAGCCCAAGAAGATGGAGTCTGAAAATGGAAATGACAAAAAAGTGTCTAATATACTGTAATAAAATTTTGTAAATGATCTTGTATATTTCTTGTGTATACAAACATTATTTATAAACAATTATTTTTATCATTATTCCCCCTCCAAAAACATGAAGGGGCCGATAAAAAATCTTCCATAGGACAGATGTATGACTACTTTTTTTATAAATGAAAAAGATACTAATACCGTGTACTGTATAATTATTTTTTTATGCATTATGATGGAAAACCGATAACACAAAAATTGAAATACAGTGGTACCNTAAATGTTTTTTCTCCTGTTTTTTCCTGCATATTTTTCCATTACAACTCTTGCACCCTTCTGTATATATTACCATTAACTGTTTACAATATATAGAATTTCTTTATTAAACATGGCTCCATAACTGAAAATATTTAACAAGATTAAAATATTGTATATAAAAAATAATTTGTAAAATATCTATTATAACATAGTACACATTTTTATTACATAAAATATTTTAAATATTATATGCCATAAAGAATAAATAATAAAAGTAAATTTACCATTAGGGAATAATAAATTTAACATAGTTTAACGATGATTATTAAACTTTATTTTTCAAATTTTAGTACTTCGTAGAACTAATATAAATTATGTTATTTGAAATTTATTAATCCCAATAAATTGAAGTTTTAAATGTGTTTTCTAAAAGAGGTATTTAAATTTATTTATTATTTTAACTTCTAAAAGTATTTAAGAGATGAGTAATTGGTTTCATATTCAAAATTGCTAAAAGTTGTTAATGTTTTAATGATGATGATAATAAATATAAATAAGATCGAGTTGATATTTACTTCATTTACAGTAATTCATATTGATGCATTGAATTTCAACTGAAACATTGCAGGAAGCCATATTTGTAAAGGGAAAAAATAGAGTGATGTTTGCATATTGTTGACGTTTTTCTCTTTACAAATATCACTTCCTGCAATTTATGTCCCAATAACAATGTCCTCTGCAATTTTCAAACGGAAACTCAATATTCCCAATGAAAATTTTACTTTTCCCTTTCTTATATATAAATATAACAGAAGGAAAGTATGGCATTCGGTCAGAAATTATCCTCCCCGGACATTTTTGCCTTTTTGGAATCAGGATCGTCAAGAAAAATGCAAA